TGACATTGATATACACAGATAGACACAAGCACGTTATATATGCACATGTTTGCTTTGAGTGCAGTCCACTTCAAATTCTCCAAGTGCTCATGCTTTTTTGGGTCTGAATCTGGTTTGCTTGAAATTCATTATTATAGTTCTTGTAATTTGGTCATTTTTTCCCAGATCTTAATTGAGGTTCTGAAGTGTGTTTGTATATCAGTAGGAAAATTTTTAAATGCAACTAGCACTTTAATAATGAACCGTAAATTAAGATTGACCCAACACAAGTTTGTTATCTATTAGATAATGGTTGCTTGTTATATAGCAAAATCCTTGTTGGCTTGCTGGACTAAAACACTATTGCAATTTGCAATCAATCAAGTTTAGGAAACAAGTTGACCTTGTTTTCTTTTTCTGAGTCATTCATATAAGCTATTTAATCAGTATTTTTAATAAAATTAGGGTTCAACTCCTCTCTATATTTGAATGTTTGTTTAATATCTGTTTATTTTATTGGTTTTTCTACTTAGGTTATTCATAAAAAAATAAAATTGATTACTTAGGTTATGAGTTGGATTGATTCCTTTGCTTCTATGATCATCCTTGCTAGCTGGACTAGCCTCCTGATTCTTCTTGGATACCATGCCTAGCTATTTGAGGATCCTTGTAGATGCTTGACGCTTTGCTACTGCCATTATTTCTTGCCTTTGTTTTAGTTGGCTGTGGGCATCTTCTCTTTGAGTAGTTCCTCCTTGCAGGCTGTTTTGAGGTCTCCTTCTGTTAAAAATTTCACAGACCCCATCTCTCTTTGTTTATGTGGTCTCTACACTTGTGTGGAGTTTTCTTTTTATTTATTTTCTTTTCATTTAGCCTTACCATATAACATACGTAGAAATAGTTCTACCTACTTCACTCCAACTATGGACATGGGAAATAGAAGCTTGTCATTGACTTCCATAAGATCAAATGGTTGGTTTTTATATGAGATAGGCTCGGGTGGCTCTACTCCAGTAAAGATGTAGAGAGCTTTTAGTTCCTCTGCGCACATTGCATGGGGTGCAGCTTTATATCCCACTATAGTTCTCAATGCATCAATCTGTTCCCATATTTTATCTTTGCTTAGCAGCACTTACAGCAACAATGGTAGAGGTAGATCCTATCAGAAACATTTCCAATAATGCAAATTTTGACAAAGGAATGATCAGATATTAATAACCGAGACCTACACAATCAAAAAAGTCCATAACAAGTCATTAAGAAATCAAATCATTGGCCTCATATTTTTCCAAATAAAGAAGAGGTTAGATGATACAAATACAATATATCAGTGATAATTGAACCTTTATTGCTGTATGCTCCAGGTTCCAACCATCTAAGAACCCATGAATGCATGTGAGCTGCACATGGATTTAGTTTGTTAATCTCTGCTTCTCTTAGCCATGTTCATAGCCCGTCTTCCATTAGGTAATCCATGTCCATGGCACTGCTAGTCCAAGTTGCTTGTTTGCTGCTGCCCATTTGCCTTGATTTCTTGTATGTGCTAGCTGCTGGATGTGGGAAAATGGGTCTTCAGTTGGTCCTTCTACTTTTTTGGATGTCTTGTCTTTGGTGGGTTTGCTTGGCTGCTGCTATGGTTGGTGTGGCCTGCTGTGGTGTTGCTTTTGGCGACTGGTTTGGCCTGCTGAGAAGGCTTGCTCCCTTGGTTGGCTTCTCCTTTTTGTGGTTTTATTTTTTCTGCTAGGTTGATTTATTTTAGTTTAGTAGTGCTTTATTTTTGGGTGAATAAGTCATAAAATAAAGACAAGAAAATTTACACAACTACAAGGGGTATGCTCCAGGACCTAGTAAGAACTCTACATAACCAGAGGATAAAAACCTGCCTAGAAACAGCAAGCTAAATCCAAAGAGAGAACAACGGCTCATAGAGATAAACAACTAAAACTATGCATAGGTGGGCCCTCAAAAAGTATCACCAAAGTACCACAAAAAAACCCACAATAGAAAACCCTAAGGAAAATAAAATCTGGTTGCAATCAGTGAGCATAAACCTGTTCAGGGGCCTCATACTATGCATATGTGGGCTAAGAACAAAGTCAAACAAACCAAAAGAGTTGTCGCAAATACCAGAATTTTTCCTTGCACATCCCGCAAGGGTAGACCCAAAAAGGCTCTGTAACAGAGCAAAAGTGACAAAATAATATATACAAACTAATAGAAAAGCCTTGTCATTCTGCATGTGTGTCCAGCAGCCATACTTCAAGATAACACCCTGTACAGTAGTCACAATATAACCATCCTCTATGTCACTGCCAGCACTCTCTACAATTGCACCATCCAACTTCAGACTTGGGAGATTAATAGGACCTGCCCAATATAGAAAATGGATTAAGTACAACCAAACAGGAAGCCTGCCTCTGTGTAGAATACAACAAAGTAACCAACACACAATATATGAGCTAATTTCACTCAACCCACAATTTTTAATCTCACAACCCTCGGGAATTGATTGACCACACATAATATCAAGTCTCACACCACTCAACCCACAATTATGACACTCACACCATTCAATGTATAGCCTTTCCATGTACCTGCAAAAAACAGAGAAACGAGAGATACCAATAAAAGAAAACATTAGGCAACTCTCTCACTGTGGACTCAAGTAAAGGTATGAATATAGTCCCCACTATCACTCAACTCTCAATGGTATATAATAGTTCACACTCCAGCTTTTTACAACCTGCAAAAATTAGAAGATTGTTAGATAACACACAATATCTGCTCACCTTTACTCAACCCACATATACTAAACTCCCATCCCTCATATTTCTGCTGCTTCCAGCACCATGACTGTCCTTCAAGATGGAGTGAGGCAGCCTCTGTTTGCTTAGAAACCAGTTATGAGTGGAATGAACTTTCAAGTTAGACAATGAAATCATTCTATATCTGATCAGATCCACAATTCTCTTGATAACCACTTCTTCAGGGTACATTTCATTATTAAAAATCCTATTATTCCTAGCAAGCCACAGCTGGTAAATTATGCAAGTAAAAACAAGCTTAGAAATAATAGTGCCCATAGAATTCCCCTTAACAGCTTTAGAGATATGTTCCACCAACTCAGGCCAAAGAAGACTAGGCCAAGATTCATTAATCATAGATTTCAGCTGACTCCACACTCTATCAGAGACAGGACAGTGAAAAAATAGATGATTATGATCTTCATAAGTGTTCTGGCAAAAGACACAATTCACATGTTGGGATAAACCAAGTAGATAAAGCCTATCCCCTGTATTAAGCCTTCAGTGAATAGCCATCCAAGTAACAAAGCTAGCTTTTGGGATAATACGTGAGCCCCAAACAACATGAGCCCAAGGAACTTTGGCAAAAGATTTCCTCCAAGAATTCCAAGTAGATTTGATAGAGAATTCACCATTGGGGGCAGGAGTCCACAGAACTTTATCATCATCCTGACTGGGATGTAAGGGATAGAGGAATGTTATCAATTAACTCCTTAATTTCCCAAGAGCTAACCACAGGCCACTTCCAAGAGTTTTTCTCAATAACAGCACTGACCTTAGAATCACTATGAATAGCAGAATCATAGATGATCCTCTCACCAAACTTAGACCACAAAGAACCTAAAGTGTGCCAATTATCATGCCAAAGGAAAGTATTACGCCCATTCCCAAAGATGTGTTTGATAAGAGGAAAGATAATAGGCCTAAAATTTAGTTTAGTAGTGCTTTGCTGGTGCTTCTTTGTGGGGCATTGAGTTCTGCATCTTTTTGTTAGGCTTTGTTTTGTTTGTTGTTTTCCTTGGGTAGGTTGCTTAGTTATTTTTTTTGGCTGGTTCTTTTCGCTAGGGTTAGCTTCTTGTGCCTCTTTGTTTTGGGTTGGTTTGTTGTTTGCCTTAGGAATGCCTCTTGTAATCTTGTATATTTCTTTGTTTTATTTTATAACTTGCCCAATGTAATAATAACAAAGATGTACACTCCAAAGAGAGGAGAGAGCCACTTTATTGACGACAAAGAGGTAGATTCATGAGGGAGGGGAGAGAGATAGATAGGTCCCAAATTTTTTTCTCTAAATTGATAGTGAAGGAGAAATTATTCAATACTTTTGGAACAATACTCTATTTCATTTGCAGGTAACACACCACAACACATATAGGGCTCACTTCACTCAACCCACACAGGAAGAGGCACTCAACAAAGATATATCCTGAATTCACTCAACGCACAACCAAAGAATTCCCTCACCCAAAGGCCAGCTCGACAACCTGTAGAGAAAACAATGAGTAAAAACATATGTGCTCACTTTCACTCAGCCCACATATAGGAACTCACATCACTCAAATATCCAAGAAATACAGTAACCTAACATATCTGGCCTCACCAATCTCAACCCTCATTCTCCTTACAAGCAGTACTAGCTAGACACTGCAGAGAAAACAATTAGATAAACATATGAGAACAATGCAATATGGATAAGCATTTTGGGCTCACAACACTCAACCCTCAACCTAAATATCACATCACCTCAACCCTCAGCATCCCTCAAGAGGTACCAGCAGGACCTGCAAAGAAGCTCATTAGAGGAAATAAGGAGCTGCTTCAGCCAACAAGCACCCACAGCCTAAGGAGACCTGCAAGAGTAGTAAGTCCAAGCATATAAGATTCAGAGCGTTAGTGCCATAGCCATAAGAAAGCACCCCAGTTTCAGTACAGAGGAAGGGAGCCTCCATCTGTCCATAAACCAATCACTAGCGGCATTCTTATTAAAGTTCTTTCACAGAAAGAATTCTAAACCTTACAGGGTTGACAATTCTCCTCTGAAACACCTCAACAGGAGAGCTAATAGATTGAAAAATTCAAGAGTTTCTTTCCTGCCAAATACAGTAAACAGATAGGTTGTTTGTTGTAGATAGAAAGAGGGGGGGGGAATTGTCAATAGATTTCTAGCAAAGGTTTATTAGCTGATGTGGCTTCATTATGCTAGTCCTACTCCATAGAAAGAAGGGGGGGATTGTCAATAGATTTCTAGCAAAGGTTTATTAGCTGATGTGGCTTCATTATGCTAGTCCTACTCCATAAATTTGTTATCTATTTAATTACGTTTAATAATATTAAGTAATTGTGCTATCTGTTTTGTTTCCCTAGTTTTCCCATCTTGAGAAATTTCCTTGTTATGTTGGAAAGTTTTGACTGACTGCTTGAATTTGGGCAGTTTTATGAACCAGCGGATTCTTGCAAACTTTAGATTTAAATGTTTTACTAAGTGCCAGAATTTGGCACTTAAGACTTCATTTGTACAAGTAATAGGAAAATTGATTCTGAACTTAAAGTTAGTGCCTAGAAATGAGTTTATGGTGAATTGGTGATCAGGACCCTATATCTGTCCATTTACTACTTATGTTATTGAATAATACATTATAATTATCACTGCATTTGATAAGAGAGGAAACACTCTTTTTGGCAGTGGGATATATATTTAATGAAAATTAGAATATTACACCCTTAAATTAGCATATCTTGCTTTAACTTCTCTGGACTTCGTATATAGTTGAGTAAAGAGAAAATCAAACAGAGTACGAACTGCAGTAATAGGCCATAAGTACTAAATTTTAGTCTCAGGGCATTCATTGGAATTGTCGCATGTGGCTATCAATTCTATTGGTATCGTTCATTTCTTATATGCACAGCTCCTTAACTGCATTATTAAGTTCCTCTCTAGAATTTAATCACATTTTGTTTACCGAGTGTAGATTGTGTACACAATTTGTATTGACATGGATAGAGAGGTCTATACAATGTAATTGATAATATGTTGATGTTTTTCTTGTTTATTGTTTTTGCAGATTGGTTTTTGATGACGTTTGGAAGCATACTTGAATTTTTTTTCCCCTAAATTGATACTTCTACAAATCAAGATCGAGTGTTGATTTTTTTTATGGACTCCATGTTAGTTCATTTTGGGATTTGCTTTGATGGTTTTTTTGTTATACTTAATGGATTATTATTAAATTTGTTTGATGGATATATTTTGATTTATAATATAAATTGTATAGTGAATTTTTTTGTGGAGTGGTGTATAATAGCTAGTGGATTTCTTAGTACATTTAAAAGCCTTTTGGGATATGAACACGGATATTTGTGAAATAATAATCTAAATTAAAATATAAAATACAGGACAAGTTTAGTGACAAATTTTTTTCGTCATTTGTACTTGTTATTATGACAAAGTGATTATTCGTCACTAATAAATATTTTTTGTGACAATTTATTGCAACTTATATATGAAAGTTTTCATTGATTTTGTTGTTTGGTGACTAAAAATTTCGTCACGGATATATATTTTTGTCACGAAATATATTTTGTCACCCATGTATGACGTTTGGAGACGAAAATTTTTGTCAACTTTACATTTTACTGTGACGAAATTATTTTCTCATCAATGATCAACATGTGAAATTTATTTGTCAACTAAAGTTATAATATGATACTGAGGCCCCGTTTGGAGACTTGCCTTTTTAGTCAAAAAGTCAAAAAGTTAACCTTTTTAGCCAAAAAGCCAACAACTCATACCAAAAAGTCAAAGATTCTCTTTTCTCTCTACTTTTTGCACATTTTTTCGTAATTAGCCAAAAAGTCATCCCAAACATATAAGTTTTTTTTACCTACCTTTTTAGCCAAATAGCCAAAAAGTTACTAAATTAGCCTGTTCCCAAACGAGGCCTGAATAATTATTTGGTGACGAAAATGAGGATTTTTTGCGACAAAATGTTATTTTATTGGTGACAAAAAGTTTCGTTACTGAAGTAATTTCATTGGTGACGAAATTATTTTTCGTCACGATGCTTTTTAGTGACAAACATTCAATGACGAAACCAGTGAGGAAAATATTTCCTCACAAATATCTATAGTGATGAAATTAGCTCTTTGGCGACACAAAAAATTCGTCATTCAAGACCCAATTTATTGTAGGCTTATATATGGTCTACATTCCTTAATTTGGCATCTTACTATAGAATCAAGAGATTCTCTTGAATAATGCCAATTATCCTTCATCTTTTTTGTCTTTTTTTTATCCTACTTCCAACTTCTTAACCACTAAAAGAAGTTTTCTCTGCATTTGTTTAAGCCACTGCGTGCTAGTTTTCTTGGTCCCATCTATCTTACGAACCAGGGAACTATTCTTTTTGCTTGTTCTAGTCTATACTTGCTGTGCTTATGTGCTGATCATCTAGTTTATGCAGGATATCTTGCTTGTGCTCGCTGTTCAAGCTCAGGAGTGCTTGTCCTAGTTGAACCAGTTTCAACTGTTAACGATGGAGATCAGCACCTAGCAACTCCTAAAACTGAACGATGTTCAAACTGTTCAGGTTCTGGAAAGGGTAGACATTTGGGATTTTGGTTTCCGTATTTGTTTAATGAATGTCACATGGAGCTATTTACTATTTGAGGGCAGTAGAATAGTGGATTTTGATGGTGCAATATATGGCTTATATGCATGGTTAAAACGGTTGCTTGATGAACTAATATGAGATTCTTGGGGAAGAGATTACGAAAACAAGAATGCTATTTCATCAGAAAAAATAAATATCTAATTTAGAATGCTTAATGCTTTGAAGCCCTTGCGTTTATATTGTGCTAAATTACTGACTTCAACCTGCTTGAAATTAATCCTCTTATTTGTTTCCTATGCTGACATGTCCAACTATACCTTTGTTACCCCCATTGGTGAAATTTCTTCCTGTGCAGTAAGACTCTAGACCTGCTTTGACACTAGCTGAGCTAGAGCTGTTTATTTATTATTTTATTTTTAAATTTATTATTTATTTAAGTTGGCTGCTAAATGAGGAAGTTATTTGATAAACTGGTGAGCTCCAACCCGTGACTTTTGAAATTTTTATTTTTATGAGTAAGCTAAAAGTTTCTCTAACACCTTTTCATTTGGCAAGTCTTACCATTGGGCCATGCCACCCTTTTTCCATTTCATACCCCTAATTACTAAAATATTCTGCTGCCGAGCTTTTTTGTGGTTCTGCTGCCTAACTTTTTTGTGGTTCCTCGAGGTTAACTATTATGACCATTATACATTATGTTTTTTTTCATAAGCCTGCTACTCCTTTATTTATCTTTTTCAAGTTTTTGTAAATGGAAGAAAGCTCATGGTTGTCAAACTGTATTTTGACAGTGAATCATGCGCTTGGGTTTTAATTGGGACTGACATAAATATTCTGCTACTTGCTAAGTTCGCAAAGCCTTTAATGGGACCTGCCCAGATAGTCATAAACAGCATCCTCATTAACGGTGAAGTATGTAGTTTTCTTTTCTCTTTTTTACTTACCTTTTATATCTAAAATTCTGAATTATCGTTCTTCTCTTTTTGGTAAATGAAGAATTAAAGTCACATCTATGAAATTGAAGAACTGGTAATTGTTCTTTGCCACCACTAGTGTAAATCAGGTAATGTTACAGGCTCAACTCCTCATTCACATATAAGATGGTGGGATATGTGGTGGGTAATTCCTGGGTCGATTGAGGCTTTGTTTCAGTGGTGGGCAGGGGCTTTGGTTAAGAAAAAAGAGGTGAAGGTGTGGAAAATTGTGCCGCTAGTTTTATTTTGCCAATTTGGTAGTTAAGGAATGATATATTGTTTAACAGTGGCCATCCTAATTTTGATGATTTGGAGGACATTGTGAAGACCAGGATTACATTTTGGGCTAAGAACAATTTACCAGGTGTGCAGTACGGAGTGCATGATTTTGTTCATAAGTCAGACATTGCTTGAGATGAAGGGTGTTTACTGGGGCACTGTGGTGGCAGTGTTCTGGGACGACTTGTGCTGGTTTTGCTGTCAAGTCCTGCTGTTGCTGTGTGTAGTCCAGTTGCTGGGTGCGTAGTCCCACTGCTGTGGTCTTGTTATGGGAAGCCCTCTGCTGGTGTTTTTGCTGTTATGAACTGCTACTGCTGGTCCTATAGTTGCTGGTTCTCTTGTTGCTGGTGTTTGCTGTCATGTGTAGTAACAGTTTGCAGTAGTAGTGTGCTGTTGTAGCTGTGTACGTGGTGCACTTATCAGTTTGTTAGCAGTCCTGTTATAGCTTCTGTGTTGTTTGCTTGCTGGGTTGTCATGCAGTTGCTAATGTTTGCGGGGTTGAAATGCTGTTGTTGATGTTTGCTGGGTTGACATGCTGTTATAGCTGTTGTTTTGCTACCTTGGGTGCTGTTGGTGCTGCTGTCTATTGGTGCTGCTTGTTGCTACCTTGGTTGTTAAATACTGGTGCCTCTTCCTGTGGCAAGGAGTTTGATGGTGTATTGTTTAGAAGTTGCTGGAAGATTTTACAAGGGAAGGAGTTGGCAGAGTTGGATGGTTGTCCTTGCGGTGTGGTTGGTCTGTTTTTTACTGTTTTTCTTTTTGTTTCTCTGTTTTGGATTGGTTTCTCGTCAATCTGTGGGTTTAGTGCTACCATATAATTGTGCTTCCTCCTTGATGCCAACCTAGTTGGGATTGTGGAGTTTAGCTATGATGTTTTTTGCACTTCCCTTCTTTATTGATGTTTATTGTTGCTTGTATTTGCTCACCTCATCAATAAAGTTTTCCTTTTCTTGCTGGTCAAAAAAAAAAAAACAAAAAACCTCACATAGTGAAAAGGGGAAATAAAATAAATTAAAAAAATAAAAGTAGGAGAAAAGGTAACAGTTAGACCATGCTCACATAATTGACTAATGGAGATAAGATTTAAAGTGAGAGCAGGCATAAGATAGACATGAGATAAAGATAAGTGAGAGGTGGAAACAGAACCAACATGACTCACAGACAGAAGAGACCCATCAGCAGTATGGATAGAAGGAACATGAGGAGTAACAGAGATAGGAGTAAAAATAGTAGAGTCAAAGGTCATGTGATTACAACAAGCGGAGTCAAAGTACCAGGAAGTGTTACCTGCAGTGACAGACAAGGCAGGAGAGGAAGGAGTACCAGATTTTTGCAAAAAATGTTGAAACATGGCTTCGACATCTGTGTGAGAGAAGACTGGAGTGGAAGGATCTATAGGGACAGGGGAAGGTACATCCTCTGAGGCAGCAGCAGCAGTGCGTTGGAACCGACCATGTGAGGTGCTGCGGGAAAAATGCCCGGGGGAAGGACCATTGCGATTGCGAGAAGCATGGGCGGGATTACGGAAGCAATCTTGTTGGAGATGACCAGGACCAGTCTTGTTGCAAAACCGACAGAGGCGAACAGGACAATTAACCAGAAGATGAGTCGACGAAAGACTGCGATTTTGACAGTAGTTGCAGAAGGTTGACTTCTGTGGTGAAGGTGGGGAATGAGAACTCTTAGTCTGGGGAGTAGCAAGAACAGAGTCCACAGGGTGCGGATGGAGAGTACCAAACCGAGTTTCCTCTAACAAGAGTTCAGAAATTGCTTGCTCAAGAGTGGGTAAAGGAGTGCGATGGAGGAGAGAAGCTCGTACGGGCTCAAAACGGGAAGTAAGAGCCATGAGAAACTGAACCAAGCGATGTTGGTCACGGTAAGTGGTAAACAAGGCAGCATCCTTAGTACAAGCCCATGGAGGTTCAGAAAGAGCGAGTTGATCCCAAACATAATACATTTGGGACAAGAAATCATTAATGGTCTGAGTTGGTTCTTGGCGCATACGGTGAAGGTGACTCAGAAGCTGATATTGGTGAGCAAGGCCAGTAGTCTGATAGCGTTCTTGTAAAAAATCACAGATGTCCTTGGCGAGAGAGGAAGCAGAGTCAAGTTGGAACCGACCAAACTGAAGGCTGATAGATGTGATAGAAGTATTGCGAAACCAGGTAATGATCTGATAGTTTTTACTATCCCAATCCTCCAGACGATCGATATATTTGGCAGCGGAGTCTGTGGTGGCAGCGGATTCGGTGGTTGTATGGATGGTTTTGCACACATCCCCAGTGATGATGCACCAAAGTTTATTTCCTTTGAGAAACCCAGACATAGCTTATGCCCATAAGACATAGTTAGTCCCGTCAAGAACAACGAAAATAGGGTGGTTAGAGGAGTCGAGACGATCCATGAGGGCAAAAGCATACTTTCGAGGTAGAATTTGAAAAATCCGAGGGTACCAGTGAATTCAGAAGGTCAAAATCAGTGGGAAAAGAGTGACCGGACCAAAAAATAGGACCAGAAAGGCACTAAATGGGCTGGTCAAAGTGGCTGGTCAAAATTCGGTCGCCTCTTGGTTCACCAAGAAATTCTCCTTATAACTTGCATAAAATATATAAAAAACACATGTCAAGAGATGACAAAAAAGAAGATGGATGTGCATGGAGAGATTACATATAGAAGCCGGTATTTGCAGAGACCAAGAGAACCTTCTAGGTATTGGTGATGAGGTAGGGACATTAAGATGGACAAGTGGCAAGACAAGAATCAAGGTCACATGTAAGAAATGTGCTTGTGAAAAGTTACAAGTAACCAATGTAAGAAGAAGAAAAAAGGGAGAATCAGAGCACGGGATTCCTGCTAAAGCGAGTGGGGAGGGATAAATGTACGCAGGCAATTGAATTGAGAACACTTTGACAAAGAATGATGAGGAATTCTTTTTGGGTCCGAGTGATAAGTGTAAAATAAATTGATAGAGAGAGAGAGCAAGTGAATAAATGTGTATATTGAATTTGTTGTTGTAATTACAAAGGGAGCTTAGCTCTCTATTTATAGTCTGATATTGGATGCGAGGCATGCCATGCGAGACGCGAGGCACCGAAAGGCAAGGCTAAAGCTTTAGCCGAAAGTGAACAAACATAATGATAACAATGAACGGATACAATGCTAATAAACAATACTAAAGTAATGCTATAAACAATGCTATATTATATACAAAGTATAATAATATACTAACAAACCATTTTACTGGATCAATTCCAGTTTCAATATCGAATGCATCTAAACTCCACCGCCTAGAAATGGTTCAAAACGAATTTACTGGAAAGGTTCCTAATTTAGCAGGGCTCCAAAAGCTCAATTGGCTAATCCTTACAGACAATCAACTTGGATCTGAGGAAGCTGAAGACTTGAACTTTATCTCTTCTTTGATCAATGCCACCAATTTACAATTTTTGGGCGTGAACATTAACTATTTTGGCTGCAAGTTGCCAGAGTCCATCGGTAATCTCTCGAGTAATCTTCAAGTTTTGTATCTAGACAACAATCAGATATTTGGAAGCATTCCAACCGGAATTGTAAATCTTGTTGGCTTGCAGAGTTTGGATATGCAGTTTAACCAACTCACCAGTAGCATTCCAAGTGGGATTGGAAAGCTGCAAAATTTACATGAATTGAAGCTTGGTTACAATTCATTGTCTGGTAACATTCCATCCTCCCTAAGAAATCTAAGTTTGTTAAGTAAACTTTTTTTAGGAGTCAATAATTTTCATGGAAGCATTCCTCCGAGCCTAGGGAATTGTAGTAATTTGCAAATGTTGCTTCTTTCTCAAAACAACCTTACTGGTGCCATACCAAAACAAGTTGTTTCTATCTCATCCTTATCTATATCGCTAGACCTGTCCCAAAACCAATTGAGCGGTTTTCTTCCCACGGAAGTTGCAAATTTGATAAACCTCGGTTACTTGGATGTCTCGTACAACTTGTTATCCGGTGAAATTCCGAGCACTCTAGGCAGCTGCACAAGCCTGGAAACACTGCATTTGGGGAACAACTTTTTCAACGGAACCATTCCTTCTTCTTTGAGTTTCTTGAGAGGCCTTGTAGAGTTGGGTCTCGCAAGCAATAACTTGTCTGGTGAAATTCCTATGTACTTGGAGAGCTTCACCTTGTTGCAAAATTTGAATCTGTCTTTCAATAATTTTGAAGGTGTAGTACCAACACAAGGTGTATTCAGTAATGCAAGTGCAATATCAGTGGTGGGAAACAGTAAGCTCTGTGGGGGTGTAGCTGAATTGAAGCTACCTAAATGCAACTTGAAAGTGGATGAAAAGAGGAGATCAAATAGTGTCTTAGCTTTAGCACTCTCTATACCCTTTGGTTTTGTAGGACTAGCTCTCGTGGGGTGTGTTCTATATCTTTGTTGGTTTAGAAAGAGAATAAAAGATACTCCTTCAGATTCATCAAAAAATTTACTCTTGAGGGTGTCTTACCAAACTCTTGTTAAAGCCACTCTCATCATTCAATTTAATTGGTGTTGGTAGTTTTGGGTCTGTGTACAGAGGAGTTATTGATGGAAGAATTTTCGCTGTGAAGGTAATTAACCTTTTGCGACATGGAGCTTCGAAGAGTTTTGTATCTGAATGTGAGGCATTAAGAAACATTAGACATCGGAATCTTGTCAAGGTGCTAACGGCATGTTCGACGATAGATTATCAGGGTCATGACTTCAAGGCCCTGGTTTATGAGTTCATTGTCAATGGGAGCCTTGAAGAGTGGTTACATCCAAATTGCAATGAAGATTTGCCAAATGAAGAGTTTAAGAAGCTAAACCTTCTTCAGAGACTAAATATTATCATTGATGTTGCTTGTGCCCTGAATTATCTTCACAACCAGGGCCAAACCCCAATAGTCCACTGCGATCTTAAGCCAAGTAACATTCTTCTGGACAAAGATATGTTAGGGCATGTTGGTGATTTTGGGTTAGCAAAATTCCTTGCAGACCATGCCACCCATGACTTGTCTGCAAATGAAACAAGCTCTGTTGGCGTAAGGGGAACAATAGGTTATACTGCTCCAGGTGAATATGATTTCATTTATTCTTAATTGTTTCATGCACCAAAAGGTGTACAGCAAATTGCACGGGTGATTTGGGCCACACATTATTTATTTTTTATTTTTTTTGTGCACAGTTCTCTGGCTTTTTATGGAGCATTTCCGTCTTTTATATCCAATATTTTTTTTTTGCCCTTACAAATGCATTTCACTTGCAGAATATGGTATGGGAAGTGAGGTCTCGGCATACGGTGATATCTACAGTTTTGGCATCCTCCTGTTAGAAATGTTTACTGGGAAGAGACCCACCGATGAAATGTTTAAAGATGGTTTAAGCCTCCACAGCTTTGTGAAAGAGGCTTTGCCTGGCAGTGTATTGGAGATTTTAGACCCAATACTTTTTCAGACCGAAGGAGAAGAAGAAGAGAGCTTCATAATGAGTGAAAAGACTATGGAGTGGTTGAGTATGATACTTGAAATTGGAGTCAAATGTTCTTCAGAACTGCCTGGAGAAAGAACAAACATTAATGATGTTGCAGCTAAATTGCATTTCATCAAAGACACTCTTCTAGGTTCTGCCTAGAGATGAATTTATGAGGGAATCAATTGGAATGTCATGCTTTTGTCTTAATAATCTCCTTTCTGGAAGAGATTACATGTTTAATAACAGCCTTACTTCCACATTGGTTGAGCCAACTCTATGTTTGGTACATTTAGTGAAAAGGAATGTTACTTATTCAAAGCAAGTGTTAGAATTTGAAATGTGTTGATCGGATTTATTTTGGGTGTGATTCTCATTACATCAAATTTAAATGTACATCACAAATTCAAAATTTATATATGTTCTTTGCACGTGATTTTTTTTTTTTCCGGTTCAAAATGTTAATAATACATGATAGAGGGATCGCGTTGTAACAAAATTCAAAGTATAGAGATCAAATTATTTAAATTAAAATTTGTAGGACCAACATAAAATTTCGCTCAAAATAGAGGGATCAATTCTATAAATTACCCTTTTTTTTAAAACTACAATTCTATTTTGATTTACCCATCAACACAAATCCCTAACCATGTATTGGTCCGGCGAAATTAATCTGTGAGTTCTTTGTCTTCATTCTCTTTGTTTGTTTATCAAATTCTAATAATGAAAGACTACAGTTGTTTTCTCTAATTTCTTTGCCATAATTTGTGATCCTTAATTTATTGCAGGATATAATTGTTTGGCCCTAATTATCAGTTAGGGCTATAATTGTTTAAGTTACTTAGCACTGTTAGTAATGGATTTTCACTGTTGTAGTTGTTGCCCTCAATTAGCCCCAATTATGGTTGTTGCCCTAATTAGTGTTGTTTTGTCCATGTGCTTATATGGGTATGCAATAAATCAATTTTAATTCTATACTTGTTACTATTTTTCCATTGGTTTGGTGCTTCAATGGAAATCTCTAATATTTGTTCTGCTCAAATTTATGAAAACATATTATTTGCAGATATTAGTCATTGTGAATTTGTGTGGATTTTTTTTATTATATAGCTATTCCTCTTAGGTAGTATATTTTCGGATTGGAAAAAAGAAAAAAGAAGCAAAAAGTAAAAAAAATTATTCAATCTCAATCGAGAGTGCTTGCTAAATTTATTGAAAGCAAGAAACAAATAGAAGGGCCTCTCTCAACAGTTTGCCTAGGACCCCTTAAAACTCAAGGCCGGCCCTGACTCCTTGACACCAGTTTGAATACACCTGCATTTACATTATATATACACATTGTGAAACAAACAAACTCATATTATTGGCTAACAATTAAAAGGTAAATAAACTTGAATCACACAAGTATATTACATTATCATTCTCACATGGACTAAATTGGAAATAATCTGATAATCAAATTATGTATACACTTTGTGACATATAGGTTCCCAGTTTGAAGTTAAAAGTACAGGCATAATCCTCTTCCTTTTTGACCAAGTGTTTACCATTTCACACAGCTTTGACAAGCATAAAGCTTCATATTGTCCTGAAATTTAGTTACCAAAGAGCAAAAATGAGATGTTAAGGGCATAAATATAAACTCATTCTAGATTGGTTTGGCGGTTAACATAATTCATGCAGTTCAAACACCTAAAAGCATTATTAATTATTTAAATCACCATTAATCAAATTGAATCTCTTAGAATACCCAAAAAAGGGCATGGTAGCCAATATTTTTAGAGTAACACTATACAATGAAAAAAAATGTAATCAATTTACTACAAAATGACATGACAAGTGTTGATTTTATTAACTTAAAGCAAAAAGTCAATCAAAATGGATTAGATTTTGAAAACTGTCATTGTCATACTATTTCGTCAATAGTCATGAATTCTATGTGACTGGGAAAGGACAAACTAATTTGAAATCTCACAATAGAAAACATGCCGTGCTTGCTCCCACCATTGTCCAATTATCTTTGCGGCTTCCTGTTAACAAGGACAAATCATGGAAGATCAAAGCCAATGCGATAGAACTATAGGCGTAATTCTACAGAAGAAAGAAGTTAAAACTATTGAGCAAGACCTTTTCAATTTCGTACCTTGTTTAAAGTTCATCTTGAAGGAGTTTGTTCTTGACCAAATGAAGTTCATGGAGGATATTACTAATGCTCATTCGACCTTGTGGAAACTCTTTAGAGCATGCCACTCCAGTATGGAGCATGGAAATTAGACATTCACCATTCTGTCACCATTGTTCACTTGAATTGATTCCCAAGTACTGGCAGCAACAGCAGTATCTGCTGCTGTTGCTCCTTCCTCTTCTTTGTCATTCTCTTGGAGTACCGGGTCTGCAATCTCCATCACATGGTCAGGCAAGGCCATCCTAGCAAAGCTATGAAGATTAAGGCCTTCCTCAAACATGCTATCAGTGGGTCTCTTCCCTGTTACTATCTCCAATAATAGGATCCCATAACTGTAGACATCTCCATAAGTTGACATCTCACTTCTAAGACCATACTCTGCCATTAAAATAGTTCACATTGAAAACCCCTAACGATTTGTTTTGCCTAAAAACAAACATAATATAAAAGAAAAAAAAGGAACAATCAAATCTGGCATATGATAATGTCATAATAATAATATGAAAGCAGTACATTATACATATTCCCAGTTTTAGCAATGGAAAACATAGCCATTACTGTTATGACTAACAGTTGACTATGGACCAGGCCTTAAGGTAACCGTGCCAAATTCTCCAACTTGAGAGATGGATGGATCAATACCCATTTAACATTCCTTCAATGATAGCTAACTTATATTTTGTTTGAAACTTGAAATTTTAATCCTAGAATAGGCATATGTCAAAGCAAAAGAACGGAAAAGAGAAGTTGTTACCTGGAGGTACATATCCAATGGATCCCCTTATTCCAATCAAACTGCTTTGATTAGGAATGGTAAGCTCTGGGAAAAATCTAGCTAGGCCAAAATCTCCAACAAAGGCAACCATTTCATGATCAAGAAGGATATTACTCGGCTTCAACTCACAATGAATGATTAGTGTATGGCATTGGTGATGAAGATAATCAAGTGCACAAGCCACATCTATGGCAATGTTTATTCTTTCTAGAAGGTTGAGTCTCCGGTGCTCATTTTACCCATTATTAGTTTCTGGACTTGAATGCAGCCATCCCTCTAGACTCCCATTAGGCATGAACTCATAAACTGAAGGTTTAAACTCATTTCCTTGAAAATCAACACTAGAAAAAGAAGTTATGATCCTGACCAAGTTTCGGTGTCAAATATTTCTCAAAGTTTCACACTCTGCCATGAAACTCTTTGTAGCTCCACAGTTTTGAAGGTTAAGTATCGACTATAATCAATTTACGGGATCCATTACAGTTTCAATATCCAATAATTCAAATCTTGTCAATCTTGAAATAGGATGGAATGAGCTTATTGCGGGAGTGCCAGCATTGGACAAGCTGCATAAACTTTGGTGGTTTGTAGTTGCATTCAATAATCTTGGGAGCGGTCATAGCGATGACTTGGACTTTTTGTACTCTTTGATCAATGCCACTAGTTTAGTGGAAATTGATCTTCGCTGTAACAATTTTGGAGGAATGCTGATTGAAACCATTGGCAACCTGTCAACTAATCTTCAAAACATGTATTTTAATCAAAATCAGATATTAGATAGCATTCCATCTGGGATAGGAAATCTCATCAACTTGGAAAGTTTATGGTTGTATGAGAATCAATTTACAGGTAATATACCATGTGATATTTTGAAGCTTCAAAGGTTGGTTTTCAACGAAAATGAACTCTCGGGATTAATCCCATCCTCTCTAGGAAATTTAAATTTGCAAAATTTACTTGATTTGAGTCAAAACAATCTTCATGTGTCACACCCCAAACCCGGGTATGACCGGCCGTGGCCCACAGGGCCTTAGCCCAAGTCACACGTAAGCCTAAATATGAATCCATAATCACATTGAACAACTAAACAATAGTCCAATAATAAATAACCAAAACTCAATCCAGTGACATACCACAATTATAAACGGCAAAATCAACCGTAATCAAAACCATCCAAACTTATGAAATATAAACAGCCCACATATCAAAATAATCCTAAATGAACCCCAATAAAAATAAAAGAAATAAATATGCACAAACTTGACAAAACACTCTAAAATAAATGAATGTCCTAGAGGTCCATGCAATCGTGTCATGACCCCAAACCGCCCCTAGTAGGATGGTGCCGTGATGGCTAGTAATCCAAGATTACCGAAGGCCAATTTTCAAAATCCACACACAACAGAGTATAAATATATGGGGCTCACAAGTGCGGAAGCAATACATACAAATCAGATTAGTCCATAAGAGCTGTGCGTAAGTCAAATGAAATGGCAAACATCTTCACAAGGGTTACAACTTAGTACAAATGAAGTAAAGTACTTATTACATCTTGATCAAAAGGCTTCTCAAGCCGACGTGTGCAAAATACAAGTATTACAAGTCGAGAAGCATAATTTTCAAGACTGCCGACATGAATACAAGTCAAGCCGACATAACAAAAATCCAAAACAAGCTCGCGAATCACATCTAGGCGTCACCGCCTTCTTGCTCATCACCTACATATATATAGAGAGGGTGAGCTTGGATACTCAGTGAATGATATAAATAATAAAGGGTTTGCATGAATAATAGCCGAGGTCTTTTCAAAACGATACATATCAAAACTTTATATAACAAGGGATGGACCCCGTCCATCTAGTAAATCTTCAAAGCTTCAAGGGGTGCTTACTAGCATCAACATATTACAAATGATGACATTCCGGACAAACAAACCCACGTGGTAAACCGTCAGTGGCAAAACAAGACAAAGCAAGGGAGATATCTCGAACAATGGTGCAGTTGCATTATAGTCCCCTGACACTAAGGACTCTCAAAACAAGATGTACAGTTGCATTATAGTCCCCTGGCACTAAGGACTTTTCTGAGAATGTTATCAAAACAAGATAATACTTGATATACAAAATAGGGACAATCATTCATGCTTAACAAATACTTTTCAAAACAAAGCAAAGCAAAGCAAAGCAAAGCCCATCAAAACATTGATAACATAGCTTTATTAAAAATACCACTCACTTAGCTCTTCGGACGTCGGGATCAAGGCAAAGGTCCAAGTCCTACAAACACATGGCAAAGTATACTGAACGTACTTCCAAACAAGATTCACATGCAACCGGATGATCTCGGCATTCATCAAAACCAAGTTAAATCAAAACAAAACACTGTTTTTCATCTCGGGGAAAAATATGCTGGGCATCAACCAGATCTTGGCCGAGGTCCCACACCTTCTCGCCGAGGTGTAGTCCCGACGGCCACATTCAAAAGCGAAGTCGCGAAAATCTGGGTTTCCCTTTAAAGAACATGAAGATGGAGAAGATGAAGAACATGCATGCTAAAATCATAACTTGTTACTACAAAGTCTGAGATCTCATGCTATGAGTTCGAAAACATGGACCTGGGTACCCATACTCAAAGATCTTGTGAGAACAAACACAAAAACATGGCTCTTGATACAAACTTTCGGATCAAAACAAGACTTTTCTTCGAGAACACATGAACACTATCTTCTCTTACTAAACCAACTTTAAATCGATGCAAGGCATGCAGAACAGGTTCGATCATGCAATGCAACTAGACGATCAATAAGAACAATAAGAGTAGTTTAAGATTCTAACCTCGAAACTAGGATCTAACGGTTCAAGCTCCCACGGTCAAGCTTGGAGGTCCACTCTTTCACTCAAAAGCTTCTCCTTCTTCTTTCTAGAGTCTCTCTCTCTCTAGAAGACAAGATTTGATACAAAAATGATATGTTTTCTCGACAGTCACTGACTTAACCCTCTGCTGGGACACGTGGCATCGGCTGATTGGCTCTACTCAAAAAGGTGACTGACTGACAAGACAAGACCATGACAAAGTGTATTCAACAAGTTGGACGGCAAGAGCACTCCGGCAAGTGATGATCTCGGCTAAGGGCAAAGCTTCGACAAGTAGGGTGACAACGACATCGGCTTGGAAGGACAACACTTGACTAAGCTGTGCCACACCTTGGCCTAGATGTGCCACACCTCGGCCTAGGTCATACCATTCCAGGAACAAAATCACTAAGTGCAAGGATCAAGGATCTAGACCGCCTAGATAATAACATCTCGGCCTAGATGATGCACATCTCGGCCTAGGTGACGCACACCTCGGCTTCGATGATGACATCTCGGCCAATATGCCAGGGTGAAGATGGAGGCCAACAGAAGTGGTTCCAAGATAGTTCTAAGTGTGGAAAGGTTCCAAGGTGTCTAGGCTTAAGATGACCTCGGTAACACACCAGGCAAGAATAAGGCATGCAGCAACACTCAAGGAAAACAAGACAGGATTTGCAAATGCACATAACAAAACAAGATCATACATAAATGTATGCAAGTATGACTAAGTTGAAGTGAGGGTTGTTACATCCTACCCCCCTTAAAGAAGTTTGGTCCCCAAACTTGAGTTACCTTGTTCCAAAAACAATTCTGGATGTCGGACTTTCATTTCCTCTTCCATTTCCCATGTAGCATCCTCACCGTAATGCTCATTCCAGTCAACTTTCACCATTGGTATCGACTTACTTCTCAATTGTTTCACCTGCCTATCGATAATCCGTATCGGTTTCTCCTAGTAGCCTAAATCCTCATTAACTACAATCCCAAAATAGTCGATCACATGCAGTGGATCTCGAATATACTTCCTCAACATCGAAATATGAAACACATTATGGACTTGGCTCAATTCTAGCGGCAAAGCAAGTCTGTAGGCAGCGAGATTAACCTTCTCAAGAACTTCAAAAGGCCCGATGTAACGGGGTGCTAACTTACCCTTCTTCCCAAATCTTGTAACTCCTTTCATCGGCGAAATTTTCAGGAATGCATGGTCCCCGACTTCAAATTCTAACTCTCTTCTTCTCTGATCGGCATAACTCTTCTGTCGACTCTGAGCGGTTTTGATTCTTTGCTGAACGAGCTTAATCTTCTCGGTTGTTACTTGAATTAACTCGGGACCAAGCAGAGCTTTGTCTCCTACCTTGGTCCAACATATCGGTGACCTGCACTTCCTTCCATACAATGCTTCATACGGCGCCATGCCAATGCTAGCTTGATAACTGTTGTTATAGGTAAATTCCACCAATGGCAAATGCACTCCCCAACTTCCTTGGAGGTCCAATACACATAGCCTAAGCATATCTTCAAGTGTCTGAATTGTCCTCTCTGTTCGCCCATCAGTCTGGGGATGAAAAGCTGTGCTAAACCTCAACTCGGCTCCGAAAGCTCTTTGTAGGCTCTGCCAAAATCTGGAAACAAACTTCGGATCTCGATCCGACACAATTGACATCGGCACTCCATGAAGTCTGACAATCTCATTCGTATACAACAAAGCAAGTTTATCGGTGTTAAAGGTGGTCTTAACAGGCAAGAAGTGCGCTGACTTAGTTAGTCTATCCACGATGACCCAAATCGAATCCATACCCTTTTGCGTCTTCGGCAAACCAACCACAAAGTCCATGGAGATGTGTTCCCATTTCCATTCAGGAATCGGCAAAGGTTGAAGAAGTCCTGCTGGCCTTTGATGTTTTGCTTTCACTTGTTGACAATGCAGACACTGGGACACGAACTCGGCTATTTCTCCTTTCATATTCGGCCACCAAAACGTCTGCTTCACATCTTGATACATCTTGGTGTCCCTGGGTGAACAGCAAACTTGGAACCATGAGCTTCCTGCAAAATTTTTCTTTTCAACTCTGGGATGTCGGCCATACACAATCTTCCTTCAAACTTGAGCACTTGATTTTCTATGGTGTACCCTGATCTCGGCTTTGTGATAATCTCATCAGCTACCTTCTTGAAGAATTCATCCTCCATCTGTCTTGTCTTTACTTCCTCAACAATAGTCGGCTCCACTGAGATCGTGGTTAGACATGCCAAAGTTCCAACCATATTTCTGCTCAAAGCGTCGGCTACGGTGTTAGCTTTACCTGGGTGATATTGAATTTGCATGTCGTAGTCTTTCAACAACTCAAGCCATCTTCTCTGTCTCATATTCAATTCTTTCTGAGTGAACAAGTACTTCAAACTCTTATGGTCTGTAAAAACCTGACAAGAAGCTCCATACAAGTAGTGACGCCAAATCTTTAAAGCAAATACCACGGCCGCTAGTTCTAAATCATGGGTAGGATAATTCTTTTCGTGTGGCTTCAACTAACGAGATGCATATGCTATGACCTTACCTTTTTGCATTAATACACAACCCAAACCCTTATGCGAAGCATCACTATAAACTTGAAACTTTTCATTACCTGATGGCAGTACAAGAATTGGTGCTGTGACTAACCTCGTCTTCAACTCCTGGAAAGCCGCTTCCCTATCCTCAGTCCATTCGTAAGCCGCTCCCTTCTTAGTCAGTTGTGTCAACAGAATTGCAATCCTTGAGAAATCCTTCACGAACTTTCTGTAATAACCTACCAATCCCAGAAAACTATGAACCTCGGACACATTAGTCGGCCTCGGCCAATTCACAATGGCTTCAATTTTACTAGGATCGACCAAAATACCGTCGTTATCAATTACATGGCCCAAAAATGAAATAGTGGAAAGCCAAAACTAACACTTGTTAAACTTAGCATACAATTTCCGATCCCTCAACGTCCGTAAGGTAAGTCTCAA